GGGGGGGGGGGGCGGAAAGAGACTGGTAGAAGTAAATAAGGCTAAACTTGAAAAACATAACCACGTCGTCAGGTGTGATGGCACATACTTTTAATGCCAGCACTCGGAAGGCAAAGGCAGGCAGATTTCTGTGAGTTCAAGGCCAGCCTGGTCTACATAGTGAGTTCCAGGCCAGCTGGGGCTACAGGGAGACCCTGTCTCAAAAAGACCGAAAAAAGAAAAAAATATAACCACATCATAAGAGTTTTGAAAATGTAGAAAACAGAAATTCCATCTCTAAGTAGTAATTTCCGGTTTCCCTACATGTTTGCCTATTGCATGGACATATATGTTTATATATAGTCTGTCTTTAAAAAAATCTTGGGGCTGGAAAGATGGCTCAGTGGAGCACTGGTTCGGTTCCCAGCACCTACATGGCACCTAACAACCATCAGTAACTCCAGGGGAATCCCAGGCCCTTTTCTGACCTCTGTGAACATCACACAACACGAGTGCACTTACACACATGCAGACAATACACTCATACACGCAAAAATTAAAATATTTTTAAAAATTTCTTATTCATGTGTATATGTGCATGTGTGTGCCAGCTTGTCTATATGTGTACCACATGTGTTCAGGTGCCTGTGAAGGTGAGAAGAGGATGTCAGATCTCCTGGAGCTGGAGTTACAGGCAGTTATTAGACACCATGTGGGTGATGAGAACCAGACCTGGGTCCTTTGCAAGAGCAGTCAGTGCTTTTAACCACCTAGCCATCTCCCTAGCCCCTATAGTCTGTAAAGTTCACAAACTATAATAATTTCCTTTTTTTTGGGGGGGGGTCTTCCTGTAGCCCCAGCTGTCCTGGAACTCACTATGTAGACCAGGCTGGCCTTAAACTCACAGAGATTGGCCTGCCTCTGCCTCCCAAGTGCTAGGATTAAAGGTGTGCGCCACCATGCCCAGCCCAATAATTCCCTTTTAAGATCACAGATAAACATTTTGTGGACAAGTAGTATGTTTTCTTTTTTCAATGTTTTATTTTTTTTATATGTACATGTGTATTGCCTGCATGTAGGTAAGTGCACCCGTGTTGTGCAGTGCCCGAGGAAGACAGAAGAGGCTGTTGGATCCCCTGGGACTGGAGTTACAGATAGTTGTTAGCTGCCATGTGGGTGCTGGGATTTGATTTGGGTCTTCTGCAAGAACAGCCAGTGTTCTTAACTGCTGAGCCATCTCTCCAGCCCCCACAAGTAGTATGTTTTCATGGTTTAAAACCAGAGACTATAGTGCTGGCAAGCTGACTCAGCAGTTAAGAACACTGGCTGCTCTTGCAGAGGACCCAGGTTCAGTTCCCAGCACCCCCATTGCACCTAACAATCATCTTTAACTCCACTTTCAGGGGATCCCATACCCTCTTCTGACCTCTGCAGGCTTTGCATAACGGGTGCAGGCATGTAGGCAAAACACTCATACACATAAAATAAAAATTTAAAAAAATTTTAATTGGACGATATAAAAGAACACAGTGGAAAGCTTATCACCCTTATCCCATCCCATGACCACTTCCTTCCAGAGGCAAGTAGTACAGTTCCCTGTATGTCCTGAGAGCTTTGAGTGCATAAGCAAATCCAATGTGTCTCCCTTTACACAGATGATAGAGGTGTGCTAGTCTGTGCTTTCAGACATAGCTTGGCAGTACCATGTCAGTATGTAAAGAACTTCCTCACCAGGTGTGGTGGCTCATCATGCCTTTAGTCCCAGCACTCGGAAGGCAGAGGCAAGCGGATCTGTGAGTTCAAGGCCAGCCTGGTCTACATAGTGAGTTCCAGGACAGCTGGGCTACAGGAAGACCCTGTCTCAAAAAGACCAAAAAAAAAAAAGAATTTCTTCTTACAGCTGCTCAGTTGCCTAGTGGTTCATTATGCTGGCTGGCTCTGATGTATTGTTTGTTTGTTTTGGGAGGACAGGGTCTCACTGTGTAGTTCTGGCTGGCCTGGATCTCATAGACAGCCATTTGCTTCTGCCTCCCTAGTGCTGAGATCAAAAGTATGCCCACTGCCATACCTGGTGATTTTTTTTTTTTTTTCACCCTTTCTTTGTGATTTACTTTGTTTTGGTCTTTTTGAGACAGGAACTCACTGTGTAGACCAGGCTGTCCTTGAATTCACAGAGATTCACCTACCTCTCTCTCTGCCTCCCCAGTGCTGGGATTAAAGGCATGTACCACCATGCCTAGCTGTGATTTGCTTTTTTAAAAAAGATTGTGTGTGTGTGTGTGTGTGTGTGTGTGTGTGTGTGTATGCCACGTGTGTGCAGATGCCCATGGAGGCCAGAAGAGGGTGTCAGATCCCCTCAAGCTGGCCATTACAGGGGGTTGTAAGCCACCCACGTGGGTGCTAGGAACCAAACTGGGGTCCTCTGGAACAGTAAGGAGCTCTCTTAATGGCTGAGCCAGCTCTTCAGCCCCCATGATTTACTTTTGCAGACTAGTTTTCACTTTTTTGGTGCTGGGGTAGCCATACCTCCCTACTCCTGCCGGCTTTTGATGGAAATCTAAGCTGCCTAAAACCTCTTCCTCTTAAGCCAGTCAGCACCCTCGTGCATAGACCGTTAGAGGAAAGATGCTTCAAGAGCACCTTAACTTGAGCTTGGATTTCATCTACAGAGACTGACCTCATAGATAGACTTTTCACAATTCGCAGTTTCATCTGAACAGCAAAACATTCCTCTCAAGCATTTTACAGTTTGAGAAAGTGAGCTTTCGAAGAAACACATGTTAAATAATAAATGAATGAAAACATAACTTTAAAGTCAGTCTGCTGGGTTTGAATGTCAGTCCTGCTTGTAAGTCTGTGGCCTTCGGCATGTTACCCCACTTCCATGAGCTGTGATTACTTATCTCCAAATGGGTCTCCATCTCTAAATTATCACAAAGTGAGGCCTAAATGATTATATCCCAGTCATAACTACTGGCAAACAAGCCAGAATGTTCTATTTTTAAAAGACACAGAAATTAACCCAAACTTCCTTTTTTTCTTCCTTCCCAACTACAGTATGTTTTTCCCTGGAGAGAGATCTGATTCTCAACATCATCTACATTTTGCTTGCCTGGAAAAAGACACAGTAACTTTTCTGCCTTGCAGCACCAAAGTGCTGTATAGCTGAGCCCCTCTGCTGTGCTGTCTGCCTCTAATTAAAGGCATGCTTTCTACACTAGGACTCCGAGAACCTGGGTAAAGAGGGTTTGTATCTCATTCAGGCTTTATTAAGCAGATGAATATGCAGCCAGCTATGCGAGATGCTTTGCACTGAGTGACAGGTGTCCCATATCCATCTGGTTACCTAGCCTAGACAGGACTCATCCTCCCTCCAGGCTTGGCTCGCTAAGCCCAGCAATTAGACTGTGCCAAGGTGGAGGACTTTGCCCTGTGTGAGATGGATAGCTGGATACCAGTTGTCTGTTTCTCTGATTGGAAGCTGGTATTATTGAATAGAAGAAACACACACACACACACACACACAAAACCTACAAATCCCCTCATTATTTCCACCCTTCCTGTCTGTACTACCTTTTCCTCCTCTATGAATGACCATCAGGCAGTCACCATAATAACTACAGGAGTGCCTAGAATTGGGCAGCTCTCTTCAATGACCTGTTTGCTTTTTATAGCCTTTCTCTGCAACTGGACTCTGCACCCTACATCTAAGAATAAGCCGGCAGTGTGGGGTGGCCCAGATATGTTTAGATTACACTCATTCCAAAAGACCTCATAGGAATGTCATGGTTAGCATTTGATACGGAAATTAAGAGGGAATCTCTACCTTGCCTTGTGCTCTTAGTTTGAGAAGGACCTAGGCAGGTGAAGATAGCTCACGAATGGCTCTTGCCTAGAATTGCAGTCTTGTTAGGTGTGGGGCCTGATCTGAGTGGTATGCTGTTGTAGGCAACAGCAGGCCAAAGCCTCGTTCTCAACATTGTTGAATTTCATTCAAAGAAAAACAGCCTGTCCATTTCCCCCTGTTTTTTGTAAGTGGGAGTTGAGGCAGTAGGAATGGGCTGTTTCTTTGAAGAAGATATGGTCTTGTGGATGAAAAATAATGAACCATTTTGTTCAGTCTATTCTTTGGTTTAGAAAAGGCTATCAATCTTAGAGAAGGAATGTGCCTGGGATAGATGCTTCCCAAATACTCAGATGCTGTAGTTTCTTTGTTGACAGCATCCCCAGACCATGCGCCCGTGATAACTGCCTAAGCTCATGAAATCTCCACACAGTGTTTCCTGCTTGCTATCCCTCTGTCAAATTCTAATCTAAGATCCTCAATTCAGATCTGGTTTTCAGCCCAGTATCTCTGCTGTTTATTTTTAAAATAGTTTATTGATTATTTTATGTGTATGAATGTATTGCCTGCATGTATCTAAGTGCACCTGTGTTGTGCAACGCCACAGAGGTCAAAAGAGAGTGTCATATCCTGTGGAACTGGGGTTATGGATGGTTGTTAGCCACCATGTAGGTGCTGGGAACCAAACCCGGGACCTCTGCAAGAACAGCCAGCACTCTTAAGCACTGAGCCATCTCTCCAGACCATGCCTGCTGTTTAATTCCCTTTGGGCTCTGTGGGTATTGTGTGATTGTTTTGTTATACAATGGTCTTCCAATAAATGCAATTCATAATCACTGAATTCTTTTTTTGGTCTTTTTGAAGCAGGGTCTTCCTGGAGCCCCAGCTGTCCTGGATCTCACTATGTAGACCAGGCTGGTCTTGAATTCCAGAGATCTGCCTGCCTCTGCCTCCCAAGTGTTGGGACTACAGGCATGCGCCACCATGCCCTGCGATCACTGAATTCTTAAACACACACACACACACACACACACACACAGGCACTCTCCTAAGTGTTTGGTATGGCTGTATACAAAACAGAAAAGTTGATAAGAGCTGAATTCTAGCAAAGGGTCCAAAGGTCAAAGGCAGCTCACAAAGATTTTCTCATTTTACAACTGAGCTAACTTACAGTGTTAAATGTTTCTCCTCATAACTCAAAATCCAGGCAGCAGAGCCTGCAGGCCACACACAGCCTAGCCTCAATCCTCTCACATGTGGATAGACCAAGGCTTTTCAGTTTGCTTCTTTTGTTTCTCAAGATAATAGGAACCAGCACCTTACAGATGATGCTCTTGTGGACCTCTCCTAGGTCTAGCCAGGGAACTTCAAGGGGCTCTCTGTGGTGAGATTGGGCTTCCACATGAATAGGCCCAGAACCACTACATACTACAGTTCTGTGCTTTGGGAATCCAAGAGACCCTGAGGAAGGCTCAGACAACACACTCAGCCAGGTAGACACAGAATGTGGTTCAAATGGATGGGGCTGGGGAGGTTTTCAGGACCATAAGTCTTTTTGAGTGTGTACATTACTGAGAGAGGACTCTTCTGATTTTGCTACATTTCCTCAGGGTTCAGTATCTCAGTTCCTCACCTCTTACCTGGGTCAGACCCAGTGTTGGACTTGCTTCAGAGCCAATTGTGAGTATCCCTTCCCAACTCAACATTTGGCAAAGCCATGTTGGTAGTTTGAACTCAGTCATGATAGTGTTGACAAAATATAGCTCTTACTTTAAAGGGAATAATATCTGAACCAAATATGAGACATCATGTCTCAGAGAATTCCTCCCCCAGGGCTTTAGAAGCTAAAGTCGTTCCACAGATATTTACTAAACACTTATTACATGTCAGTACTTTGCTAGGTTCCAAGGTCACAATACTGAAAAAGGTGAAATCTCAAAACTTTATGGAATTTGTTGTGTGGAGAACTTAGAGAGAAACATTTGTGTGTGTGTGTGTGTGGTTTTTTGGCCTGGAACTCACTATGTAGACCAGGCTGGCCTCGAACTCACAGAGTTCCACCTGCCTCTGCTTCCTAAGTGCTGGGACTACAGGCGTGCACCATCATACCTGGCTTTTGTGTGTTTTTTTTGAGATAGGAGCTCCCTGCAGTCCCAGCTAGCCTAGAACTCGCTATGTAGACCAGGCTGGCTCTCCTGGGACTCCAGCTTGCCAGCCGACCCCAGATCTTGGAAATTGCCTGCATAACTTTCTGGTTCCTTATGATAAACCTTACTTTATATCTATCCATGGAGAGAGAGAGAGGTGGGAAAACTCTAACATGGCAACCGGAGAGAGAGAGAGGAAAGCTCTAACATGACAAAGCATAATCTTAAGAACTAGAGAGTGGGTTGGGCGTGGTGGCGCATGCCTTTGATCCAGCACTTGGGAGGCAGAGGCAGTTGGATCTCTGTGAATTCGAGGCCAGCCTGGTCTACATAGTAAGTTCCAGACCAGCTGAGACTACAGGGTAACAATAACATGGCAACCGGAGAGAGAGAGAGGAAAGCTCTAACATGACAAAGCATAATCTTAAGAACTAGAGAGTGGGTTGGGCGTGGTGGCGCATGCCTTTGATCCAGCACTTGGGAGGCAGAGGCAGTTGGATCTCTGTGAATTCGAGGCCAGCCTGGTCTACATAGTAAGTTCCAGGCCAGCTGAGACTACAGGGTAACTCTGTCTCAAAAAAGAAAAAAAAAAAAGAAAAAGAAAAAAGAAATAGTAGGCTTTCTATTTTTAGGCTAAAAGCTACAGTTTGGTGAGGTAAGATCTAAAAACATCCAGGGTTTAGTAACTAGGAAGTCAATGAAGAACAGTTTTTGTGACATAATTGAAAAGCAAAACAACCATTTCCCAGCAGTAGTCAGTTAAAAGTAAAGACTTGTATTTCCCCAGGGAAGGGAGGCAAGTATGGGCTAGAGATGGAGAGGAAAGTAAAAAACGTAGTAGACCGATTTGGGGAAGTTTTTCACTGATGGCTTCCATTTAGTCTGTGAAGTTAGAAAGGGGTCTTCTGATGAGTAAAGGGAGGGGAAGTGTTGGGGGTCAGAGTTTGGAAAAAAGTGAGAGTCTGCAAAAAAGGGAGTGCTCCCTCATGTACTGGTTAGTTTCTATTAACTTGACACAGACTAGTGACACCTGAGAAGAGGGAACTACAACTGAGGAATTTCCTTCATTGGATTGGCCTGTGGCCATATCTGTGAGGAATTTTCTTAATTGCTAATTGAGGTAGGAGGACCGAGCCCACCTTGGTTAGTGCCATCCCTAAGCAGGTAGGCCTGGGTTGTATAAGAAAACCAGCTGAGGGGCTGGAGAGAGTGGTTAAGAGCACTGTCTGCTCTTGCAGAAGACCTGGGTTCAAATCCCAGCATCCACATTGCAGCTAACAACTGTCTATAACTCCATTTCCAGGGGATCCAACACCCTCTTCTGACCTCTGTGGGCATTGCATGCCACAGGTGAACTGGAGTTATGATGGTTGTTAGCTACCATTGAGTGTTGGGAATCGAACCCAGGTCCTCTGCAAGAGCAGCTAGTGCTCTTAACCGCTGAGCCAACTCTAGCCAGCCCTAGGATTTCTTTTTAAATATTTTATTTTTATTTTTTACATGTATGAGTGTTTCACCTATGTATATGGAAGTGTATGCAGTGCCCTCAGAGGACAGAAGAAGGTGTCAGATCCCCTGGAACTGGAGTTATGGGTGGTTGTTAGCCACCATGTGAGTGCTAGGAATTGAACCTGGGTCCTCTGCAAGAGCAGCCAGTGCTCTTAACTGCTGAACCATCTCTCCAACCCCCAATGAAATCTTTCTATCTGGAAATTAATGAAAGGAACTGATGGATTTGGGCTGTAGCAGGTGTTTTCTCAGCCACCTCAAGATTTCTTTTAGATTTTGAGTGGTGACATTCACTTAGCCCTGAATTTTGTGTCCAGGACAATGTGAGACACCATTTTGACTATTTTTATTTTATGTGTATGCATGTATTACCTGCATGTAGGTAAGTGCACTTGTGTTGTGCAATGCCCACGGAGGTCAGAAGAAGGTGTCGGATTCCATGGAACTGGAGTTACGGACATTTGTTAGCTGCCATGTGGGTGCTGGGATTTGAACCCGGGTCTTCTGCAAGAACAGTCAGTATTCTTAACCTCTGAGCCATCTCTCCAGCCCCCCAATTTTGTTTTAAAAGCAAAATATCAAAGAAATGAAGAATGATAAAAATCACGTATTACATTGTTCCATTCCTACTATTGAATGTTAAGAGACACAACAGCCAAAGCCAGGCATTGTGGCGCACGCCTGTAGTCCCAGCAGAAGCAGGTGGATCTCTGTGAGATCGAGGCCAGCCTGGTCTACATAGTGAGTTCCAGGTCAGCTGAGGCTGCAGGGAGACCCAGTCTCAAAAAGGCAAAAAAGGGGCTGGAGAGATGGCTCAGCAGTTAAGAGCACTGACTGCTCCTGCAGAGGACCCGGGTTCGATTCCCAGCACCCACATGGAGGCTACGAACCGTCCTTAACTCCAGTTCCAGGGGAATCCGAAGCACTCTTCTGACCTCTGCAGCACTGCATGACACAGGTGCACTCACAAATGCAGGCAATACACTTGTACACATACAATAAAATAAAAATATTTTTTAAAAAAGGAAAAAAAAAAAGACACAACAGCCATACTGGTTGTGTGTGTGTGTGTGTACCTGTGTGTCTGTATGTGTCTGTGTTTGTATTGTATTTCTGTGTATGTTGTGTGTGTATCTGTGTAAATTAATTTGAAATGTAATCCCAGGAAAACTGAATTGTGTGTCATGTCTGCGCAGTCGGAAAGGGCATCTCAGCAAGGTGTGCCCCTCCACAGGCGTCTTCTCATGTAGGCAGCTCTGCTCTCTCCCTTGTGTATGCTGATGCCATCAAAGAATTCCTATTTTGTGAATCCTTTTGTAAACTACAAAGGCTTTGAACATTGTGGAAATGGTAAAAAGAATTTTATTTTTGGCCAAATAAATTTTGGAAAGAAAATCTTACTGCTCGGCGCAGATGGAACTCTTGCAATGCCTGGTCATGAATCTAGTTTTGCTACTGTAATGAGGAAGCACACTTTTCACACCCACATCCTCATGGTTAATTTTTTTTTTTTAACACAGACTTGCACTGACAACAAAGATTCTTCTAACAAGCTTGGAAAAGCTTTGTCAACAGCCTTAGATGTCATCAACAAAGCAAGTCTCTGAGTAAACACATTAAAACAATTTTTCCAAGATCCTGGAAGAATATATGAGTTGCTTTTCTACCACACAGAAGTTTGCTGGCCTTCATGAAATATGGCTGGGAGCATTTTTTCAAGCTAAAGGCAAATATTTTTACTTTAAATGAAGTAACAAGAATGAAAGAAAAAGAAAATTCACACACAAAAAGGAATTTTATTGATGTGTTGACTTGTCTGGAAGATTCTTTTAATCATGTGAAAGAGGCTTTTTTAAAAAATATTTTTTTAAATTTATTATTTTTATTTTATGTGTATGAGTGTATTGCCTGCATGTGAGTGCACCCGAGTCATGCAATGCCGTAGAGGTCAGAAGAGGGTTTAGGATTCCTCTGGAACTGGAGTTAAGGACGGTTCGTAGCTGCCATGTGGGTGTTGGGAATCAAACCTGGGTCCTTTGCAAGAACGTTCAGTCAGTGCTCTTAACTGCTGAGCCATCTCTCCAGCCCCTAAAGAGGCTTACTTTTTAATTCAGTGTTAGGAAGCCAGGATTATGGGTGCTACTGAAAAAAAATTAAAGCATTCTCAGCTAAGTGGTCGATAAAGAAGGAGCTTGAGGATATGCCTTTCTAACATGGAACTGTAATATAAAATTCTGACATTTTCTTTGAAAAGCAAATTCTGGAAATTTCTGGAGCACTTCAAAAGCCTTCCCAAGCTGTTTCTACCTTGACGGTTTATAAGTTGAACCCTAGTTATGCAGTCCATTTCTAACATAAGGTGAATCAAAGTTATTAAGATACTGACTTAACTGAAGATAAATCCTTTTTTTTTTTTTTTTTTTTTTTT